TAAGATAAGTTCTTGTGGCTGTGTAAATCTGTAAAACTAGAAAGCCAGAACCTATTTGGAAAGACCTGAGTAGAGAGGTAGCATGGATTTTCAATAGTATTACTATAAAGGCTAAATCTAGAAAATAAATACTGATGTAAAAGGCATCAGGTAGGCAAGAACCTTGGGTAAGAAGTATTACCAATCAGGCTACTAAAAGTTTCAAACTAAATAAAAAGGATCTTAGAGAGGCAAATCTTCAGGATATCAGAGACAGAACACAGTTCTTTTAGGCTATCTGGATTAGAAGTTTGAGGTCTAAAGCAGGATATAGCTAAGTACTAGAAATATGTTATAAAGTCAGTATTAGAGTTTAAGTAAACTTTACAATAATAAGCTCTGTTAACAAAGATTAAATATGAGTAGTTAGTTAGTAAGTGAGCCTTTTGAAGCTTTATAGTCAGGTGATATACTCTGAAATATGCAACAGCTTAACAGATATATAAACAAAAAGGTCAGAGTTAGGTTAGATGGCATCTAAAATAGATATACAAAAACTTGTGTACTATTTGCTAATATAAAATAGAGATAACCTTGTACAAGTTATATAACTATAATTGAATTCACAATAAAGGCAGTAGCCATCAATAACTAATGGCCTTAGCAAAAACAAAAAATATATATATATATATAATTCTGTTTTATAGTTTATTAAAAACTAATTTATATTTTAGTTTAATTAAATATAGAATTAATAATTAAGTTAAATTAATAGAATACTGGAAATAAATTAGTTTTTTAAACTATTTTCTTTTTTAAAAATTTTTAAAAATTGAACAATTCTTGTTTTGAATAATTTTGCTAAAATTTTATTTTTGTCAGAGTATATATTTTGTTATTTTTAAACAATTACTAAAACAGATATATTTGGTTTCAATTTATAACAATATAGTAGTTTTATTTATAAATAAATACAAAAATAATTAGTTAATTTCTATTTAATAAAATATTATTAAACAAAAAAGTTAAGTATTAATGTTTATAAAATAATAAATTGGTCTTTAAAATGCATTTGTAATTGAATACTAAAAAAATAATATTTATAAAAATGTCAACATTTGTTTATAATATTTAAAAAAATTAAACCTTCTTTAGGAATTATATAATAACATGAAAGCTTATTATTAATTTTAATTAAATATTAATAACTGTTATTAGATATTTTAGAGTTTTTTTTAACTTAACTAATGTTTTTTTTATATTATCAATTGCATATATTAAATATATTTCTAATTAATTTACTAAAAATAAAGATTATATAAAGTAAATAAATTATATAAAATTTTATTAACACCTATGTGCATAGTTGATTTAAGATGTTGCATTCTTATTCTCTGATTAATTTTTTCAAAAATGTATTTAAGTTACTAACAATTCTAATTGTTTATTTAAAAGTACTATGTAATGTCTTAGCACAAACAGTATTGAGCTGCTTATATAACAGAAATACTTTGTATATATATGTATTTATAATTTTAAATCTTTTATCAAAGATCCAATATAAGCTAAAGACTTTTTAGAATTATGTTTTTTTTGCAGCTTGTTTAACAGATTCCATTACTAATTCTATATTCTTTTTATTAAAAGTAAGATGCAAAGCTTTAACTTTTTTAAAAAAACTTTATAATTATCACTATTATCAAAAAGTCTACAATATTTAGTTTTAAGATTTTGTTCTATTATATGTTAGATACAAAGCATTTTATTAACTTTTAAAAAAATTTTATTAGAGACATTTCTAAATGATTAATTTTTGTCAAATATAAATATACTTAGAAGACAGTTATAAGTATCATATACTTTATTACAAAAATTATTATTATTTTTTCTTCTTTAGCAGCCTTGTTATTAACTTTTATTAAGATTTGTATTTATAAATTTGTATATATTATAACCTAATTTACTGGTTTAACATTCTTTGACTACTTCAATAAGTATCCAAAGATGGTTTGTCATACTAGTTAGAGCAATATTTGAATTCAGAAGCTGTACCAAACTAGTCTAATTAACTATATAAAAATGATCTTACTTTACTTTCTATATAACTTTTAATTAAACCAAACAATATTTTTTTTATTTTACTGTTTTTTATCTTTTTTGCATTCTTAATTTTCTTAATAACTTAGTTTCTTTCTATTCTAATTATACTTTCTATTTAACTATATATCTCTTTACTAAACAATTTTGTATTTTTTTTGGTTTTTTTTTATTTTTACAATCAGTTAATGTTTATTTGATTATTCCTACTTTTGTAACTTCTTTTTCTTATTTATTTACTTACTAAAAAATCTCTTTAAGTTGTCTTTTACTTGTAATTGCTTATGTTTTATTTAAAAATTTAACTTATATAAGATTAATTAACAGATCTTCTATTTTTTTTTTAGTTGTTTTCATAATACTTGTATGCTGCTAAATGTTCTTGGTTTTCTTTCTCTTCTTTATTACAGAATATATAAAAAAAAAACTTTTGTAAAGGTCTAAATAAGTTTTACTAATTTACAGCATAACCTAATGCTATTTGTAGTGTATAAAAACTCATTAATTTTATATAACTAAAGAAGGAAGAATTGTATACTGATAAGAAATATAATAATAAAGACCATCTAATCTGAGGATCTTAGTAGTATAGAATTCTTAGTTCTCAGACCAAATCTTTCATGATAGATTTTATTTCTGATTGTGTTTTAGGTAGATCATTTTTCACCCTAATAACATATGTTGTAAACATCAAATCAGCCTCTTTTGGTAATGATTAGCAATTGGTGTAATACAACTGTCAAATTTCTAAAAATTTTGTAAATTTTGTAAATTAAATAAATTAGGTAAATTAGGTAAATAGAAAAGATTTCAAAAATAATATAGATCAACAAGATTAAAGTGAAAAGTAAAATAATACAGAAAAAGTAAAAAGAAGAGATTACATTGATCATATAAATTTCTTTCATATGTAGTTAGCAAATATATAAGAAATTGATTCTACCTTTAATAGAAAATCCAACTCTTGGAGTTCCAAAGAAACCTTCTAAGTCTTGAAAAGAAGTGTTTGTTTCCTAAATAATTTCTCTTTAACACCAACCGAGTTCGTATCTTGTTATTCGTTTTGTCCCTGTGACCATCGTACCTCTCATTTTCGTATTGAATAAAATAGAAAAGAAAAGAGCACTGATTAGTAAGCCAAGCTCTTAAATATTGAATGCAAAACTGATTAACTCCGTGATTACCTCATTATTATTAAAATTGATACCCCCGTAACTGATCTGGATCGAACCCTGTGACCACGTGACATCAAGAGTCAAATTCACAGCCGCAGTAACCTAACGGAAAAGAATAGATATTAGCAAAGTAAATAGCATTCAACTAACCAACCTAGACAAAGGAAAAAGTATACTTATCTGAAGCCTAACACTACCACTATAAGCCAAATAACCCTTATCATTCGGACCAAATCTTTCCACGCCTCTATCGTGCCTTACCATTACTAAGGGTTTAGAGACTATAAGTATAGTGTTCTAGTTCGAATAGCCAAGTTAGTAGAATAGTCTGTAGTGAGCTATTGTATAAACAACCCTGTAACTTTTCCGACGCGGCTTCCACTTCTACAACGTACGTACCTGGCTTTAACCGACCCATGTTATGTTGTGGATGATAATTAGATTTATCAGCTGCAATTTAACTGATAATATGTTTATTCAATGCTTCTGATGTAAGCACCGACCTTTTTCATATACATGAGCACTTTCTAATTACGTTCACGCTTCACCCACTTTTTCCAAATTACTTTGCAATTTGAACTCAAATACTTTATTATAAAAATTTGTAAAAATTTTAAATACCTTTTACACACCTCTTTATTCTTATTATTTCGAATATATAGTTTATTGTAATTTTGCGTGCTTAGAATATAAATCGATGAAAATTTGTGTACCATCAAATATAAAGTGACGAATAATGTATATGAAAAACGTCAGGTGCTTGCATAGAAAGCGTTGGATAAGCTTTCATAATAATGCATTACACGAGCAGGCGATAATAAAAAAAAGGTTCGATATAAACAAGAATTTATTGTCTGGATTAAAAAAAAATATATAATTCGAGTTGCAATTCCAAATAACCAAGATCTTATTAACATTTGTCGAAACTGTGTCGAGAATTATAATCAACTAAAATTAAAATATCATTTTATTTAAAAGTTTTAATTCATGTATAATGGTTATTAAATATATAGACCAAAAAGAAAACCCATGAATTAAATAAAAGTATTGGGACGACTTAATGATTATATTTGTGACATAGCAACGTTTTTTATGGGCAATGCTAGAGTAAACACATTACATAATCGATTATTACCATTTGGACAATGTTTTTACTGGATGTCTCAAAATTAATGAAATGAAAAAAAGATAAGAAACAAGTAACTCGGAAGGTTTTCGTACTAAGTTAGCCTGTAAGGTCAATCTGATATAACCAAATACCTAGTCATCCAAATTTTTATATAATCTTTAGATGATGTAAAAACATTGTCCAAATTTTAGAAGACTATATGAGCTGCTGTCAATAGAAATCAAAAATCAATGCCTTAACTTTCACTACTCATATCTCGATGAATTTCGAAGCTAGAATAGTCAAATGAAGGTTCAGATCTTAAGCTTCATTTGACTATTCATTCATGAGAACAGCTTCGAAATTCATTGAGATGAGTAGTGAAAATTAAGGCATTGAAAAATGTCATATTTCCGGTTCGACTGGGCAAATTTTAATAATCTTACCTCCATTAGAACTGGAAGGACATGAGAACATGTTTTCTTAGAGCAATAAAGGAGGCTAACTTTATATAAAAGTCAAAGGGTTTGGGTCAAAATTCCGAACCTTAATTATCACGTCGTGTGATGTCGGCCATCATGATGACTACGTATAGAGATACGTAACACAAATCGTAAGCGGAGTTTGAGCCGACATGATAATTAATGTTCAAGATTTTGACTTTTTGGATTTCGAACCAAACTCAAGTCAAATGGGCCATATTTCCGATGAGAAATAAAAGGACTCAAATTACGAGGTTTTTGATCCAAAGTCCGATTTAAATTTGCAGCGGATACAATGTGATGTAATAGGCTTCTACGTAAAAATTTTCAAGATAAATAACCTACATAATCGGGTAAAAAGCTCTGTTTTTTTAAGAATTAGTAAATTTCTTGAAATATATTTCATTATTACTTATTTAGATAAAACTTGTTTATTAAAATAAACATTGAATCCAAAATTGTAATTTGTACAATGAAAGGGACCCTCGAATTTGTGCAATACTTGGCGTATATTTTACATAAAAAATTTTTTATTCCCGTTTAGCATTTAAAGAGATTGAAATTTTTTACGAACATTAAATATAATTATGGCTTCTGATAAAGCAAATTCTGTTTTAAGTAACGATACAACAATTAATAACGCAGCGAAAATAACTTTTACAACTGTTACTAATATCGCAGCCGTTTATCTTCCTATAATTAATTCGGTAAAACTTCTAGTTGATGAAATTGTTCAAATTTGTAATGCTGCAGAATGTAATAAAGAAATTTGTTTTGTAATGAAAAACCGAGTAAAAATAGCCGAATGCTCTATAGAAAAAATAGAAAGAAGTATAGAAACTGATAAAGAATTTTGTGAAAGATCATATTATTTAGCTTTTGTAAAATTTAAAACAACTTTGTCGAATATTAAAGATTTTACTACGGATGTATCAAATCTTAAAGGGTTTAAAAGATTTATTAATGCACAGGATGTTAAAAATAGATTTGAAAATTTAAAGAAAGAATTTGATGATTGTATGAATCAACTACACTTTGCTGTTGCCGTTGATAGTATGATTCATCAAAAAGAAGAAGAACAAAAAGTCGATAAAGAACTAAAAGAAATTGGTCAAGTAGGTATAATTATTTGAAATGTCTTATGATAATCTTATTTTATTTATTTATTTATCTATTTATTTTTATTTTAGCTTATCATCAAACTTGGTGATCAATGCGAAAAGTTAGCACAAGATGTAAACATTATGAAAGCTAACGTTAATAAAGAAAGTGAAGTCAATAAAAATAAGATTGATGAAAGTGATTTAGTTGATCCTATCTTTCGTAAAGATGTACATGGAAAAATTATTAAGATTTATAAACCACTACAAGTTGAAGTTGAATGCAAACGCATTGAAAACACTAAACATCATGAGTCTGAATTGACAATCCTTAACAAAATAAGTCAATCACCTCACATACTCCGTTTTTATGGTCACTCGGTCGTTAATAATCAACAAGTTATGGTTTTTGCATGGGCTGAAAATGGAAATTTAAAAGAGCTTTATGAAAATTACGATATTCCTTGGCCTAGAAAAATACAAATTATTAATGATATATGTCGTGGTATTTCGTTTTTACGTACTGTAAATGTTTTCCATCATGATCTTAGATGTGAAAACGTTTTTGTAAGTATAATTAAATATAATGGAATAAGATTTAATGTGTTTGAATGATAATTAATAACATTAAATTAAAGGTATTACGTGATTTAAACGTAAAAATTGGAAATTTCCAACGTGCACGTAAAACAGATGAACTTTCACGTAACCTTAAAGATTCATTAGCATATGTCGTTCGTTGGATGGCTCCTGAACAACTTAAAAAATATAAGGATGGAAATGAAAACGAAAAAGTGTATACATTTGATTGTGAAATGTTCAGGTAATTGTGGTTCAATCTTAAAAAAGATCTTCGAATGCATCACTTTATTTTCTATTTTAATTACTATTTTTTTAAAATTAGTTTTGGAATGCTCATATGGGAGCTTTGTTATGAAAAGGAACCTTACAAAAATATGGATGTGTCACAAATAATAGATCATGTTTTGAAAGGCAAGAGAGAAAATGTTTTAGAAGGAAAATTTAAAGACACTAATGATAAAGATATTCAAATAGAGTTTATTAAGATCATTAAAAAAGGTAGCTTAATGAATTTTAACACTTTTTACTGCTTATCCTTAATTTTTAACTTATTTCCTACTTAATTGATGAATAGCATGGATTCATAGTCCAAATTCACGAATATCTATTGCAGAACTAAGTTATAAACTTGATGAATTAGCTGGAAAATATCCACTTCTTCTTGATGCATCACAACTTCTAAAAAATAATGAATTGGATTTTGAAGGAACAAAAGATCAAGTTCCTTTGTTACTAAAGTCGGAAATAAAAGTTGATGAACAGACAAATCAAGTTCCTATTGAATCTTTGTGTCCAAAATTTGACGATGATCCTGAAGAAATTATTGAGGAAGATGATATTGTAATGCCTATTGAAGTTGGAATAAAGATGCATAAAGAAGGGAAACATGAAGATGCATGGAAATGTTTCCAACAAAATTCTGAACTTCCATTATCAAAGTTCTGGCAAGGCTACTATTACCGCAAAGGGAGTGTTGTA